ATTAGAGAAGATGTATGGTGTGATTTAAATGTTTTTGAATTTGCTGAGACTTGCTTTATGGCCTAGTATGTGGTCAGTCCTAGAGTAGGTTCCATGTACTGCTGAGAAGCATGTGTATTCTTCAACTGTAGGATGAAAAGATCGGTAGATAACTGTTAGATCCATTTGGTCTATAGTGTCGATTAGCTCTGCTGTTTCCTTGTTGACTTTCTGCCTGTTTCATATGTCCATTGCTGAAAGTGGGATATTGAAGTCTCCCATTACTATTGTATTGAAGTCTATGTCTTCCTTTAGATCCATTAAAATTTCTTTTAAATAGCCGGGTGTCTTGTAATTGGGTGCATATATGTTTATAATAGTCACATCTTCCTGTTGAATTGATAACTTAATCATTACCTAGTGCATTTCTATGCCTTTTTTCACAGTTTGTGTGTAAAAGTTTATTTGTCTGATATTAGCATATCTATTCATCTGATATTGGTTTCTGTTAGCATGGAGTATACTTTTCCATCCTTTTACTTTCAGTCTGCGTATATTTCTTGGTGAGATGTGTTTCTTGTAGGCAGCAAATATATGGGTTTTGTTTTTTTATTCATTCAGCCATCTGTTTCTTTTAACTGAAGAGTTGAGGCCATTTACATTCAAGATTTCTCTTGATATGTAATGAGTTGACCCTGCTGTTTTTCCATAAATATTCCTGTTGTTTACTTTGGATTTCCTTTGTACTTTTACCAGGTGATTTTCTGCCTTCACCTTCTTTCTTCTTTCTTTCTTTTTTTTTTTTTTTTTTTAAAGAATTACTTTGTCTATTTGAAAGTCAGAGTTACACACAGAAAGAAGGAAAGGCAGAGAGAGAGAGAGTCTCCCATTCCACTGGTTCACTCCCCAAATGCCTGCAGTGGCCAGAGCTGAGCTGATCTGAAGCAAGGAGCCAGAAGCTTCTTCTGGGTCTCCCACACAGGTACAGGGGCCCAAGGAGTTGGGCCATCTTCAACTGCTTTCCCAGGCCATAGTAGAGAGCTGGGTTGGAAGAAGAGCAGCTGGGACTCGAACCAGCACCCATATGGAATGCCAGTGCTGCAGGCTGGGGCTTTAACCTGCTGTGCCACAGCTCTGGCCCCTGCCTTTACCTTCTTTCTTAGTGATGGCTCTGTTTTTATGTTTCTGTGTGTAGTACATCCTTAAGCATCTTTTATAAGGCTGGATTTATAGTGACAAATTCTTTCCATTTCTGTTTGTTATGGAAGGTCTTTGTTTGACCTTCATGCACAAATGAGAGCTTTGCAGGGTACAGTATTCTGGGTTGACAGTTTTTTTCTCATAGGACTTGGAATATATCTTGCTGTTCTCTCCTAGCCTGTATGGTTTCTGATGAGAAGTCTGCCGTGAGTCTAATTGGAGTTCCTCTGAAAGTAATCTGGTGTTTTCCTTCATGTATATTTTAGACTCTTTTGTTTTACTGTGGAAAGTTTGACTACAATGTGATGTGGTAAAGATCTTTTCTGATCATGTGTATTGGGAGTTCTATGTGCTTCCTGAACTTGGATGTCCCTTTTTTTCTGCAAATTAGGGAACTTTTCTGTTATTATTTCACTGATTAGGCGTTCTAATCCTTTGTCTCTTCCCACACCTTCAGGGACTCCTAAGACCTGTATGTTGGGTTGTCTGATAGTATCCTATAGATCTCTAGCAGTGCTTTTTTGTTTTTTAATTTCTTCTTTTTTTTTCCCTTTTGGTCTGACTGTAAAATTTCCAGAGATTTGTCTTCTAGCTCGCATATTCTTTCTTCTGTCTCACCAACTCTGTTGTTGCTACTTTCCACTGCATTTTTTATTTGATCTATTGAATTCTTCATTTATTTCATTTTGATTTCCCTTTAAGAGCTCAATTTCATGGGATAAGTTTTCATTCATATCATATATAGTTTTCTTTTTTTGTCTTTTTTATTTATTATTTTCATTTTATTTATTTATTTATTTTTTTGACAGGCAGAGTAGACAGTGAGAAAGAGAGAGACAGAGAGAAAGGTCTTCCTTTGCCGTTGGTTCACCCTCCAATGGCCACCGCAGCCGGCGTGCTGCGGCTGGCGCACCGCGCTGATCGAAGGCAGGAGCCAGGTGCTTCCTCCTGGTCTCCCATGGGGTGCAGGGCCCAAGTACTTGGGCCATCCTCCACTGCACTCCCAGGCCACAGCAGAGAGCTGGCCTGGAAGAGGGGCAACTGGGACAGAATCCGGCGCCCCGCCCGGGACTAGAACCCTGTGTGCCGGCGCTGCAAGGCGGAGGATTAGCCTAGTGAGCCGCGGCGCCGGCCCTATAGTTTTCTTTAGTTTGTGAATTTGCTTCTGATTGCTTTTGAGTAGTCCAATGATTAGTTTTTTGAATTCTGTTTATGGCTTCTCCTCAATCTCTTCATCTTCACTTTCTAATATTGAAATGTTGTGTTCCTTTGGGGTTCTAATAGTTTCTTCCTTGTTCTCATTTCTTGAATTTTTGTCTTTATTTTTCAGCATTTATGGATTTTTTTTTCTAATGGCTTTTATCTTTGGCGTGTGTCTCTGTGGGTTAGTGGGACGTCTGTACTTTCAGCGAATACCAAGAGGTGTGTGCTCAGTGTGGCCAGGGTGTTTATTCAGTATCCAGGGTCAGACCCCAGTTGTGTGTAGTAGCTCTCTCTTGGTCACCTCTGTTGGGGCAGCCTGCCCTCCTCACAGCCCTCCTCATCTCCTGAAGGACACCCCAATGTTAGTCTCAATTGTGCTCAGGACTCACCTGCACTGCTTTATGAACTGCACATTTGATCTGCGGAGTCTTTCCTGTGAAAGTAGGGTTTCCTCTGCTTTGAGCTGCTGTAAGCAACCAAGGAGCTCAGGGAGTGCGGAGAAGCACTCTGTGGTTGTCCAGGACCTAACCACACTCTTTCTCCTCTTACGCAGTTACTGTTTTCTGACTCAGCTCTCAAGGCTCTCTGGATCTTGGACTGTAAGTGGGACCACCGTGTCCTACTAGCCAGTCCTATCTATAAGGAAACTAAGGTGTTCCCAGAGGTGCTGTCTGTGTGTGGTCCTCCTAGCCAAATTCAGTGTCGGTGGGAAATGTGGGTTTTTCTGTCTGGTTAGGTCTGTGTTTCACCAGTGCACAGAGTACCTGCCCGCTGCAGCCCCACTCACTTCTTGATAGTGCAGGGCAGGTGGGAGAGTCCTGCAGGTGGCGTTTCCCCTCCCCTCCTCCTGCTGGGCAACTGATGCAATGCAGTTGGCACAAAGGAGAGGAAGCAATTCTTCTGAATTGTCGTGGCCCTGGGTAGGGGCAATCCCTGTTATTGATGGGTGCATGCATGGGAGGTGGATCCGCAGCTACCTGCCATGTTCTGAGCATGTTTGTGGTTTCTAGGCCAAGAATCCAAAAATTGCGTGAGCCCTTCCCTCACTGCAAGTCTCTGCTGTAGTGCTGCGGCAGGGCGCGGTGGGGAGGAGGTGGAAGGGGAGATACCCGTCACCTTTTTTCTCCCCCAGACCTGGGTGCTTGGTCACCTGCTGACTTAGGGGGCCTGCATGGAACTCTAAAAGCAGTTCACCAAGCTCTCCCTCCCGCTGTATCAGCAGCACTGTGGGCCATGGATTCCTCTTCCACCTGGTCTGCTAGGTCAGGTGTCTTCCTCTCTAGATCTGAACTCTTGTTGTCTTTTTTGTGTATTTGCTCTTTCTATGCAGGTCTGGACTGCTTCTTGCTTTCACAGGGGCTCCTGCTGCAGTTCTCCTGTGGCTTTATCCTAAGATTGTATTTTCTCCCCTTTTTAAATTAATTTTGCCTTGCATAAATCAGGCCAACCTGTCACTATTCTGTCATCTTGGAACCTATCCAATATTTTTAACTGTCTTCCCCTAGACTAGAGCTGTAAGCTCCCTCCCTATTCCACCATCTTGGAATCTTCTTGACCACATTTTATTTAGCCATGCATTACTTGATTGAATATTTGTACTGTTTCTTCTTTTTGACTGTAACATAAAATGCTTGCGTGAATATATATTTTAAAAAGATTTTTATTTATTTTATTTGAAAGAATTACATAGACAGAAGGGGGGAAGAGAGAGACAGAAAATCTTCCATCTGCTGGTTTACTCCCCAGATGGCTACAATAGTCGGGGCTGGGCCTGGCCAAAGCCAGGAGCCAGGAACTTATTCCAGGTCTCCCACATAGGTTATAGGGGCCCAAGTATTTGGGCCATCTTTGACTGCTTTTCCTGGGCACCTTGGCAGGGAGCTGTATCAGAAGTAGAACGGCCGGGACACAAACTGGCACCCATATGGGATCCAGCATTGCAGGCGGTGGCTTTACTGGCTACACCACAATGCCTGCCCCTTATATGACGATTTATGTGCATGTTTTTGTGTGAATGCATATTTTCATTTTACTAAAAGTGGAATTTTCAGGTCTATTGTAAGTAACATTTTTAGGAGCTTCCTGATGGTTTTCCAAAGTTACTGTACCATTTTATATTACTTCCAGTAGTACATGAGGGTTCCAGTTTATCTCGATTCTCTTTTATTATCTTACATGGTACTATTGTTCAGTTCTGCCTTTTCTAATGAGTTTCTTACTCAGGGTAGAAAAAAATATTTCCATTCTAGTTGTGTCACAGTTTTTTTTTTTTTTTCACTTTGAAGAAATGGAATGAAGCCAACTTTTATCTGCTCTGAATATAACATTTAGTTTTGGCTTCATGCTACTTCCCAGAAACTTAGTTGATGTTTGTCTCTAAATCTCTGTCAGTTTAGTGCTCAAAACTCAGAACCTTCTCCCTAAGCTGTAAACTTTTTAGCTTTAGATTTTTCTGGTAAAATTTCTATGCTTGTGGAGACTGTTCAATAATATCAAATGAGGGTATGATTATTGTCTCATGTATACAAAGATTTACTGTTTTATTGGATGAATTATTTTTCTTAATTATGTATACTTTTCTAATCATCTAGTACCTTTGGTTGTTATTTTATGTGCAGATGAAATGGAGACTAAAGATGTGACAAGAACGTGAGGACCTCGCTGGGGTGTGCTCTTAAGAAAGTTGGTAATTAAGTTACTTTTTAAAAGATTATTTAAATTCAGTGAATGCATTGTAGAGACTTTTCCTTAAAAATGATTTTTACATTTGGATTCTCCTTTGTGGATTACATTTCCTTGATATTTTTGACACTTGGAGTATAATTTTTCAGTGGTTTTTCTTCAGGGAAATTTCTGGGAAAATTGTTTATAAGTTTATTATTGATCTTGTACATCAGGAATACATTATAAAAACCAGCAGTTTATTGTGTGTGTGTGTGTTATGTTCAAATTAGTTGTGGGGGGAGCGGCGCTGTGGCACAGTGGGTTAACGCCCTGGCCTGAAGCGCCAGCATCCCATATGGGCACCGATTCGAGTCCCGACTGCTCCTCTTCTGATCCAGCTCTCTGCTATGGCCTGGGATAGCAGTGGAGGATGGCCCAAGTCCTTGCGCCCCTGCAACCACGTGGGAGAACTGGAAGAAGCTCCAGGCTCCTGGCTTTGGATCAGCGCAGCTCTGGCCGTTGTGGCCATCTGGGGAGTGAACCATCAGATGGAAGACCTTTCTGTCTCTACCTCTCTCTGTAACTCTGTCTTTCAAATAAATAAAATAATATTAAAAAAAAAATTAGTTGAGAGGCTGGTGCTGTGGCATAGCTGGTAAAGCCTCTGCCTGCAATGCTGGTATCCTATATGGGTGCCGGGTCAAGTCCTGGCTGCTCCACTTCTGATCCAGCTCCTTGCTGATGCTCCTGGGAATGCAGTGGATAATAGCCCAAGTCCTTGGGCCCCTGCACCCATGTGGGAGTCCTGGATGAAGCTCCTGGCTTTGGCTTGGCACAGTCCTGCCCTTAAGGTCATGTGAAGAGTAAACCAGCAGATGGAAGATCTGTCTCTCTCTGTAACTCTGCCTTTCAAATAAATAAAGCTTTTAAAAAACTACTTGAAATGGTGTGATTGCTCAGGGATTTGGTTTTCTATGTTCCAATTCTGTTGTAACTCAAACAGATGGTGGTCCCTATGATTTTTTTTTTTCTGGCCAGGCTTTCCTTCTTTCTGCCCATCAACCATCTGTTAAGTAAGTACCATTTGCTACAAGAAGAGTAAATTTCCTTAATAAAACAATGTACTATCTTATTAGTGGTGATGCTTTTCTTAAGAAGGTATTTGAATTATTTGATATATTTCTTTCAGATGTTTTTTCTTTCAGTGCAATTTGTTTATCTAGTTACGAGTTAGTAACCTAGACTGATGAGAACATTTTTTCAACATTCTGTAATATGAATTTTCATTAGAACTAGAAGTCTAATTTATTTCTGTTTAAAAAATGAGCTGGATATTTTTCTGTCTTTAATAAAATTTGGAGTAATGTATATGTAGCAGTGCTAGCATTTGCTAGAACATGTTTATCTACTGATACTGGATAACACTGTTGATGGCTCACGTCCAACTTCCTCAACTTTTTAAAATGAAGAATTCTACAGTTACTCTTTCCAGAGGTATCGTTAAGCAGTTTGTTTCTCCAGTCCTTCTATTTCAGTTGACTGTTCATTTAAAAAACCAGTGTCCATACTGATGCCTATGAGCTATAATGTCATTCATCTTGATGTCGAGAGTTTTGCTGTGGGATATCAGATGAAGTGAAAAGCTGTGATTTTTAGATTCTTACAAGAATGACACGTGGAATTCCTTAGGGTTGTAGGGTTCGAGTGGGAACAATCGGAGGGCAGAGGTGATACGGGTGGGAATTTGGAGTGGAACAGAGAGGAGCCATCATTGCCCATCAGTCTTTCAGAGGAGCTCAGTTTTCTAAATCTTTGCTTTCCTGGTATTGGATGGATGATGTGTATGTGTCTGTGTCTGGGGGGAGAGAGAGAGACAGAGACAGAGAGACAGAGAGAGACAGAGACAGACAAAGGATAGGAATGCTTAGAGAGAAGGAAGGGGAGAGGGAAGATAGCGAGTGAAAAGCAGAGAAATTAGTTGTAAACCAGCACTGCAAAAGAGTTATGTCTTTATAGTGGTGCTTCTGCAAATAGTACTTGGGGGCATAGGAAGCCTTTCTGTTACAGGATTTTCGTTAAAGGGAAGGAAGCAGTGATTTTATGTAATAATTTTTGCCATAAGAAGAGGTGAAAGCATTCTGCAGCATGTAACAGAAGGTAGTTCTGAAAAAGGCAGGTAAACTGAACTTACAATTCAAAACAAAAAGAGCCACTCTGATTAAAGCCTTCTTACTACAATTGTTTTTATTTTGAGGTTCCTTATATACCTAATGTTTGCCCCATAACGAGATACAGAATAAAAAGTTTAGAAGAGAGAAAGAGATAATTCATTTTAGGAAAAAATTTAGGGGCCTAAAATTTGAGTTTTTTTTTTTTTTTATATGGCTCTATATTAAAAAAAAAAATACTGGCACCACCTTTATTGTAAATTCCCCTAAGGCCTGAAGTTTATGGCCCTTCAACCTAACTCTCCTGAAATGCATAACAATAAACTCTTAGAGGAAGAAAGAGCTGTCATCTCTATTTTATAATTTTAATTTTTAACAAGTCCTTTATTTCAGTATAACCTACTGAGTTGAAGGCCAGTTTGGGAATAAAAATAGAACATGCCTGGGAAAATAAAGCTCTCTGTTCCCGCTACTTTTTGTCTCATTTTGATATTTTCAATCAGTTTTGCTCTACCACCTAAAAATGAATTCACATTCTCTCTTAGGATTTAATGCATTTGGTATGTTCTGAGAATGAACAATGTCATATGTCACAGCTATTTCTTTAGCTCAGTTTTCCCAACTCCACAACCATCACTAACACTTTCTAGTTCCTCCTTCTTTAACTTGCAGTATAAAATGATTGGATAATTCAGTCCTATGTGATCTTGCTACCTAAAGAGATGTTTTTAGTACAACAGGGAAAAATCACACTGGAGGAAGATTATATTTCACTTGGCCACTCCTATCTAGTGTTCAAGAGGTCTCAAAGTCAGACCTTTAACCTATTTTCGTCTTTGATCTATTTTTATTAAAACTGAAAGTCCAGCACTATTTTTTTTTTTTTTTGACGGGCAGAGTGGACAGTGAGAGAGAGAGAGAGAGAGAGAGAGAGAAAGGTCTTCCTTTTCCGTTGGTTCACCTCGCAATGGCCGCCGCCGCTGGTGCGCTGCAGCCAGTGCACCGCGCTGATCCGAAGCCAGAAGCCAGGTGCTTCTCCTGGCCTTCCATGTGGGTGCAGGGCCCAGAGACCTGGGCCATCCTCCACTGCACTCCTGGGCCACAGCAGAGAGCTGGACAGGAAAAGGAGCAACTGGAACAGAATCTGGTGCCCCAACTGGGACTAGAACCCGGTGTGCTGGCGCCGTAGGTGGAGGATTAGCCTATTGAGCCGCGGTGCCGGCCAGTCCAGCACTATTACACATTCATGGTTAGCTTATCCACAACTCAAGATCTGCTTATTGTCAACATTTTGATCTTCTCTTCACAAAATCATTTAATACACCCACACACTTTATGCATTTTTTTCCAAATCTTGTTTCTCTGTAATCATGTTTTTGACCAAAGCAATTACTGCATCTCCAGAAAGTGGCTCAACTTTTCAAGGATGATCCCTCCCTCATGCCTACTTCTGAAGCTTCTCCATGACTTGCACAGTGCCTACTCAGAGCCATTATTCACGTGTCAGGAAGTGTGGCTGAGAGCTCCATGTCCCTTCACTGTGGTTCCCCCTCTGTCTTCACTCTTCTTTTCAGAAACAGAACTGGACTTTGGAAAGGATTCAGTAAATAACTCGAATGACCTTCGTAACAGGTGAAATTGTATTCTTTTGAGGCTTATGACTTAGAGGTTATTTTTAATATGATAGGCTAACTTGCTATTTTGTTCTTTTATTCCACAAATCCAGCAAATCAATCTTCTAAGCCTAGGCCTGGGTAACTCAGTCTAAATTGTATAGGAACTGTGAATGCCACTGTTATTTACTGTAATTTCATGTTGTGAGTACTATCTTGGTTTAAGAATGGTATGTACTTACACTCCATAATGCCGGTAAAGAAATAAACACGGACACAGTAAGTATAAATATAAATTTCCATATGGTTTATTGTTGTTCCTTGTACATAAGAAACAGTAATATACAACTTACACTGCTTTACAATGTAAAATGGATAAAAATGTGTACAAAAAGCACATTCCTAGAAAAGGTATTGGCAAATAGTAAAAACTGGGGAGTAAAAAGCGAAAAACAAATTAAAAAAAAGAAAAACCAACAATTCTTCAATTCAGTGTGCAAACATTATATAAAAATAGAAATACTAACTCTACAGGCAGTATTTCCTGATAAATTATTTAAATAGCATATCTACACAATCTGAGATATCTATTCCAATGGCAATGAGAAAATAATTTATAAAAATAAAGCAATGGTATACAAGATGATAGAAAAAAACATAACTTTCAGAAACTGTATTCAACATTTCAATGCGATTTCCTTACTGGGAATACTTTTCTGCAAAGAAATTTTATACTATTTACAACATTGACTTTTTTAGGTACTACAGTAGCTTTAAGTTTTTAGACACTTAAACTCTTTCTGCTTGATCCAAAAATTCTTTACTCAGTCACACAACAAATGAGGTAATATTTGTATATAAGTTTCACCTTTGTCATTTTTTTCTCTTTTGGAAAAATGAAAAAAAAAAGTGTATATGCATTTCTCCTCCCTGGAAACAGGCACAAGGGATGGGATAAAACATTATTAAAGACCTCATGGCTTTCTTTGCAATCTAAAACACTTGCAAATGGACAACCAATGAATTCCACTTGAAGACAGAACAAAGAAAATAAAGTCCCAAATCCCTCGCTCTGAGCACCAGGAACAGCTTGTTACAGCTGATTTCCTTAGCGCCATTCTTGCAAGCCATTTGCTGATATATCTCAGTGACCTGCTCTCAAACGCTTTCCATATAAAACCTAATTCCAGGTAGAACAGAGTTAATAAATAATCTGTATTTACAATCTTACAGTCATGAAGACTCTTAGCAAAGATGATATGGACAGTCCTGACACTTCTTCCTGTTCCATGAATAATCATTCAGACAGATCCTCTGCAGTAAGTCAGTAAATATCTTATATTGTAAAGTGTTTGTTTAAAAAAAAACAAAACAGTTCTATCACTCAAAACAGAGCACTGGAGAACTCCATGGTAATTCAGAAAAAGAGAGAACAGGAATGTTTTAGTTAGGATGATGATAATTTTGTGCCTTTCTAACCATAAAAATAGAAGCACAGCTGCCCCTCCCTTGGGAGACAGCTGGTGCTCGCTGAGATGGTAGGTTTTCCTACTTTCACGCTGTATCTACACAAGCTACATCTGGAAGAAAATCAGGAATTTCAATGCCATAAGGCAATGGCAGCCAGTACTGACACTGGTTTCATTCTGACTTCTTATTCTGATGTGTAACGGCCTGGGGTCAGGGAAGAAGTCCAGAAGCCAGTCTTTCCCTCCCTCCCCTGCTCCTCTATAAGTGCCTAATTCACGTGGGTTCATCAGCCAACACCAGTCAGCATCATGAGATCCAGCAATAGTCTTTCAATCCCCTGAAAATGATTTAGTACCGAGCATGTAACAGTTCTTCCATATTTTCTTCATTCGATCGCCTGTTGGGTCTGCGCCCTCCCCCTTAGTGCTCCGGCCCCTGCTCCCCCTATCCCTGAGGGAGTAGTCAGGTATGTTTTTGTTTGCTAATTCTAGTGATTCCTCCCTTCTCTGACCCGCCTGAGAATGCTGAGTCCACTGCTCAGAGACAGCCCCACAACAGCACCCTGCTCTGACACGAGCAGAGTGGAGCAGGCACCTTTCCAGCTGAAGCAAGTAGATGTGTTTGCTTTTTCAAAAACACACCAACGTGACTGTTTATATTTTTGGAAGATGTCTTCTCTCATTCATTGGAGGCTGTATACTGAGTCTGTTTTTGAAAACTGCATTTTCTTGAGGCAGGTCCTATGTTCTAGGAATCCACATGGATGCAAGCAGAGAAAAAAGGAAGGCAAGGAGAAGTGATCCTGGGGGTTTTCGCAAGCCCATCGTTCCAGAAGGTGCAATACCAACACTGGTTCTTATCAGTCTTTAGATCAACAGCTTGTTGATTAGGAATCTGTTGAACAGACAAATATGTTAGTAAGTCGTAAGTCCATAATTACAAACTAATAACAGCACAGTTATCTTAATATCAGCCAAGTTAACAACCTAGGGATAGCTCTTATTTTAGATTGACAAACGTCATAATGTAAGATTGTTCCAACACATTAATGTTTATCCAAAACTTGTATTGTGCTTTCTAAGGCCTTCGGTATTAAATGCTTAGGGAGTTTTTTTTTTTTTTTTAATTCAGACTCAAATTATTCCATAATTTAGATATTTTTTGAGAAAAATCAATCATCCTTCTTTATTCTGATTGATCTTGTAGACAACAGACCATGGCTCAGGAAATCTTTATTTAAGCACTTATTTTGTGGTAGATCTAATGCTGGACTCAGAGACAGCTCAAGTCATTCCTGAGTGAAAAGGAATGGAGAACAAAGAGCTTTGATGAAGAGGGAAAACTGATTCAACATGCCAGGATGAAACTTGTGAGGGAGTACTTGTGCTGTGGTGGTGCAAACAAAGCCATAAACAGTGTGTGAGGTATACACAAGTTAAAGAAAAGTATTGAGGTCTGAACTATATAGGCATTTGCCTTTGCATGGCGTATAAGAACATAGAAATTGCTAAGCAAATTTTCATGGTTAATAAAGACTTAGAATTTCATCATTCATGGTTCATAGGCATTATTTTGCTTTTACCATTATGTCCTAAAAAACCTTGTCTCTCAATCTTAAATCAGCTTTTCCCATAACTGGCACCCTCCATGTCTGTCTGAATTACAGATGTCAAGTGTTATGTTGTTCTTACCTCTACATTCGTACTTCAAGTCAGAGAAGAACACCATTTCTTGAGAGAAGACAAACATCCCTAGTCTACCGCCAGCATAGGTTTTGTCATAGATGGGGCCTGAGTCAGCCATGATTTTCTTTCCTTCATACATTACCACTCTGCAAGAAAAACAAAAAAACAAAATTCTCAGTGACACTTGTTTACCTCCTCATTTTTTGCCCATCAGCATAACGTAGGTTCAATTTAACCAACACAATCTTACCTAATGAAACCTGTCTTTGGCCTGTGGCTGAGACGCCATCTGTAAGCAGTGAAATCTTTCCAGCCTATGTGACGAGGGTCATGCCACAGGGTACGCACCTTCAGGATAAAGAAAAGAGGTTGAAGCACAGCTCTATCAGGACAAGATCTGTATTGCATTATATCAAAAACAGTACTTGCCAAGCATCAAAATGACCCAGATTAGAGGGCAGCAATGGAGGATTTTTCCCCCAAGTCCTCTCTCATTTGTTGATGCCACTAAATGCATATAGAAAGCAGAGAAAAGGGAAGGGAATTTTTTTATTTGAAGAGGTTGACACCATCTTCACATTTGAAGCTTGGCCATAGTGAGCTGCCCTATCAGACACTGTTATGGTTTTTACAAAGTAGGGCTTGTTGGTGATGCTGGAAACCTCAAGACTCCCTGTTAGGAAAAGCAGAGCATCCCCAGTGCTCGTCAAGTACCCATCGACACCTTCCCCTCTATAGGGCATTGCTGCTTACCTGGCCAGGAGTGTTTCCTGTGTGCCACAGTGCATTCCTCAGGTGCTCACCAGGCCCTGTGGTGGAGTTCACAACCTTCACAGAGAGGCCTGAGTATCCCTGAGCCCTCGTGGGGTTGGTGTCCCAGTAGGATTGGGTGACTTGCTTCCACATCACAACATAGAAGCGGCTGCTAGACTGGTAGCCAAACACAAATCCAGCATAGTCATCATCCCTTTCAGTGTTGATGAAGAAGGTGCCACTGAAGTCCACAGCGTTAAATTCATCATAACCTGGAAGATGAGGTCAGGGCCAGCTTAAAACCAGCAACCTTCAGGTTTTTCATCCTGTTCCCAGACATCTTGAGCACCCATAGGGACAGACGGTATCTGTCGCTTTTGCATCAGCTTCTTTCCCATGTATGCGTGAGCCTCGTGATGTAGGAACTCACTACTCACCTACGGCAAGTCCAGGATCACAGTTGACAGTTTGGACGAGTTCTTTACCCTGATGGCGTACAACCCAGTTAGGATCATTTTGGGATGTCCCCTTGGGGTCCAGAGGAATCATCTGGAACCGGCGGAAGTCAGTCTCACTGATGTCAACATTCTCAGGACAGATGTCATCGATGTCTGGCACGTTGTCATGGTCAAAATCATCTTTGCAAGCATCACCTCGACCATCACCTGTGGTCAAAAAGGCAAGGGTTTGGTGAAATTCTAAAATGCCATGATTAGTGTCAGAAATTTACTATTTTGTCAGAATTGGCATTTAGTCACTTTATCTTCCCAAGAGTATTCAGCTTTGTATTTTTTTCCTTAAGATCGCTGTGATGTCTGCCACTTTCTAAAAGTGTGGCTCCACTGACTCACCATCAGAGTCCTTCTGGTCAGGATTGGGCACAAGTCTGCAGTTGTCCCTGTCGTCAGGAATGCCGTCATTGTCATCATCATGGTCACAGGCGTCCCCCTTGCCATCTTTATCGTGGTCAGCCTGGTTGGCATTGGGCACATAGGGACAGTTGTCCAAATTGTTCTGGTGGCCATCTTCATCAATATCCTGATTGTTGTCACAGGTGTCTCCAATGCGATCCGAGTCAGAGTCCAGCTGAGAAAGAGACATACATGGAGAGTAAGCCACCGTATCAATCAGCAGTGACAACGAGAACATCAATGCCCCCACAACAGGGAAAATCCCCCATGTCTCATCTGGCCAGTGGGGTGTTATAGAAATACTTTTCCAGAAAGCAATGTTAGTGATTACATTTTGAAAGTTTTTTTTTTTCCCCTTGATCCTTGGTTTTACATGAAAATCTCAGAAGGGATATTTGAGTTTTTTTAAAACTATATATTCTCTGGGTATAATCTGGTAATACCAGATGCTGTGGAAGAATAACAAAGAAATGGGGTTTCCCAGGTTTTGGAACCTCTTCTAGTCTGACGACTTTCTCACAGCCAGATTATATAGTTAGCCATGGACATGGTTATGGGTTGTTTTCTTCAAGGTGAAATTATAAAACGTATGTGAAGAATATACTTAAAACACTCTTAGTCTCAGACATGATTAGTAGTATGATAGAATTATCAGTCTCAGATCTCTGTTTTAGCTAACTTATCTCAACAATGGTAGGTCACAGCAAATCAAGTGGACTGTCTGAGAAGTCGGAGAAGATCTGTACATTAAAGATACATGAGACTCTGTAAGATGGTCACATCAGACTAACTGTGTACATGAACTTGGTGCAGCTGGCTTTGAGGACACCATGATGAAAGTTTTTAGACTCCATTAAACTCACTTTGTGAAGACCTAGCTAGTGAAGTTTGCAGACCTGACTGAAAGACTCTAATAGGAATCCACCTACCTGATCGGGATTGTGTTCCAGGGGGCAGTTGTCACACTGATCTCCAACCCCATCCATGTCAGTGTCCCTCTGGTCCACATTGTAGACATACTGGCAGTTGTCTCGTTCATTGAGTATACCTGCAAGGAACAGGGGACAAATCAGAGCTGGTATCTCCAACCTTGGTTGTTTCAGCCATACCACATCATACTGGCCAGGCCTAGGGAGAAGTGAGCTGAAATCTGTGGGTGCTTCCCACTGCCCAGGGGTCTGCTAGGCTAGGCAGTGCCTTACCATCCCCATCAATGTCTGCAGCACAGGCATCTCCTTCCCCGTTGTTGTCTGTGTCTGCCTGGTCTGGATTGTGGTTGTAGGGGCAGTTGTCACAGCGGTCACCCACATCATCTCGGTCATAGTCATACTGGGCTGGGTTGTAATGGAACGGACAGTTGTCCTACAGAAAGAAGAAAGGGAGCACTTTAGCACGCTGCTGTGGAACCAGCTCAGGGTTCAGACCACATGCACAGTATGCAGAGAACTGCAAAAAAATTTGCAGTGATTATTTTCTACTTGGTGGATGTATTGAGTACTCCGTGTAAAACGATCACCATACAAGTTAAAAGCCAGGACATAATGAATGGAAAATGGTTTCTATTGGCTACAAATCAATTAAGAGGTAACATGTCATCTCATTATCTCAGGTCTCCAGATGCCCAAAGTGAACTTGACTGTAACTGAGACATGACTGTTAAATCTGGGGATCAAAGGGTCACTGGTGACTCATTCTAATTTCTCTCAAAGGGGGGAAAATTTTGTGATGGATAACAAAACCCTCCTTTAAAAATTCTCCTGGCAACATTTATGTCTCCTCAAGCTACTAAACTACAATAAATAATTTCTAATTATCCTATGTATCAACTTGGCATAATTCTTCCTATAATTCCATAAGTTCCTTGAATCCTGAAATATTTCACATTGTTGCAAAGTTGAAGAGAAGCAACGGGATGGCACATATTTTGTTTTTACCCTATCATCTGGGATTTTGTCATTGTCATCGTCATCATCACAGGCATCTCCGATTCCATCCTTGTCATAGTCTTCCTGCCCCGAGTTGGGGAGGTTGGGGCAGTTATCCTAGGAAAGAGAAGATGCACATTACAGCTGTAGATTGTAGTTTCTCTGCTCAGCTCATGGATCATGCACGGGGTGGGACGGAGCACTGGGACATTCTGAACCAAAAAAGAACGGACTGCTGTTCTGTGACGGCAACCAGATGCCTTCTTGGGGGTTGCACATACAGAATGCGTATACATGCTCTAGGCTTTACACATGCTGTGAACACAAGGCATGATCTCATAGAACTTGGTAGGGGAGTGAGCCTTCTTTTGGACCAAAGAATCATCATGCACCACAACATGCCAACACAGCCTGCCCTGTTTGTGTTCTTGGCACCAAAGGACTCAACATTTGTGGATTACTGTCCTCTTCCTTTGGAAAATTTCATCTTTCAGTTTCGTTTTTGAGTTGTTAGCATTTAAAAGTCCCTGGCATACTCTGCTGCTACAGGTGATAGGCACACGTAGGAAGATGGCTGTACCTTTTTGCAGTGGTAAGTTGCGTTGGCCACACACACCAGGTTCTCATTAGGCCAGCCATCGAGGTCTGTGTCCTCCCCACAGATGATGCCATTGCCAGCATAGCCAGGCTTGCACTCACACCGGTACATGGGGTCACTGTAGTGGCCCAGGTAGTTACACTTGGCATTCTTGTTGCAGTCATGTGTCCCATCTGTGCAGGGGTTGCGTGGTTTGCACACCTGAGGATATACCATCCTGATGTTAACACAGAGCCTTCCAAAGTTCCCAGACAACACAGAAACAAGTAACATCAAGATCCTGGTTGGCTCCCTGTCAGAGGCTGCAACTGGAGGAGTGTGGATTAATTCCCCATTCTGCCCGCAAGGACGACCAGGCTACAAACAAGCTTTGCTGTACATTTATGTTTCTTGAAATTGCTTAGCACTTTGGCATTTACAGGTTCATTTACTTACAACTTATTCCAGAGCAGCATTTTAAAATGTGACTACTTTTCCCCTGCAGGAGTTACTATAGGTTTTCTAGTCATGCTTCTGAAACTAGACTGTACATTTCTTCCTCTCCTCTCTCTTAGTGCAGGGTATAAAATGACAGTCCTCCCTCTCCTAGTTGTTTCAGTCAAGGACAGCTCTTCTCTACTCTGGAGTACCAGCCTAGCCAACTGTACCTGTTTGTGGGCCATGGCATGTTCAACACCCCTTCCGAAAGGCTGCGTGCCAGTGTAGCGTGGAGGGCAGGGCAGGCAGTTGTAGCCAGGGTCTGTGTTCTTACACCTGTGCTCCCCGTTGTGGTTGAAGCAGGCGTCAGGCACTTCTTTGCACTGTGGAGTGGATGAAAGTTTGCTTAATGTTTAGAAAATGCAACCATAAGGACACGGCTAGGACAGGTTCACTGCTGTCCTGGGTCTCCTAACTCAGAGCCATCAGTTCCTCACCTCATCGACATCTTTGCACTGGATGCCATTGCCACTATACCCAGGGGGACAAGCACCGCATTTCCAGCTGCCGTCAGGGTAGCTAGTACACTTGACACCGGCAAAGCAGGGATTGGACAGACATCCATCTGAGACGAGATGAGAGAGACAGGTTAATGGTTGGTCTGGGCTGCTGTTCCTGCCATGCTGGGCACTTCAAAAGGCACCCAGTGTTAAGATACTGTAGGGTGTCTGTAGCTAAAAGGGTCATAAATGCGGGCTGTGGCGTTCAGTAAAGCAGGAAGCTCCTAGGGGGATCTTTGCGCTGGGCTGCATGGCTCACCGATTGGACAGTCCTGCTTGTTGCAGATCTGGTTTTCTGTCACATCACCAACGCAGTCCTTGCCTCCAAACTGGGGCACGGGGTTGTTGCAGAGCCGGCTTCGTTTCTGCACCCCTCCTCCACAGGTGACAGAACAGATGTCCCATGGAGACCAAGGACCCCAGCCGCCATTGACTGTAAGAAAATGAGTTCCATGTAAAAATTAAGGTCGCTGTTCAAATCTGTCACCGTCATACGAGACTCTCCTAAGCTTATTCAAGAAATCGCTGCTTCCCTGACATGGGAGAGATTATCTGGGAGGAGGGCTAGTTTGAAATAGTCTCCTCTCTGCTTTTCATTAAAAGAAGCTGCTGAGCACTGCAGGTCTTTTCTTCTGTTTGTTTATCTAGTAAGTAACCTTCCCTCTCCATGACCCACTGAACTGGAGGCTGCAGATGCCAGGCAACCAGCTGGGCAGAGCTGCCGCCCACACTGCCCTGCGGCTGAGCTCACACTTACTGGGGCAGGCATCTTTCTTGCAGGCCTTGGTCTCCCGAGCTTCGCCTTCACATGGTTTCCCATTCATCTGGGGGCTGGGAGAGTTGCAGAGCCGGATCCTTGTGATCACACCATCTCCACATGTCACAGAACAGGATGACCACGGGGACCAGTGGCTCCAGCCGCCGTCCTGTTTAACTGAAGTACAAAGCGGATGGTCACTGATGGTATTGGTTTGGTAGCCAAATAGAGGTCTGTCTCGGGATCATACAGAAATATTTCCAATGGCAACTGCACCCTGTGTAGCAGAAATTGGCTCTTGGCCATGTGTCCTAACGCCAGCATGGAATGTCAGAAGTACATGTAATATTTTAGCTGTCTTTATGGGTTGTTATTAATAATGCAGTATTTACCAGGTGTTAACCATGAACAAAGTTCCATGTTGAGTGCTTTATAGGTGTCATCTAAATAAAAAGCTCAAAATAACCTTATCAAGAACTTACTGTCCCCAAGTTCCAGATAAGGAAAGTCACAGAGAGGGCAAGTTGTGCTCAAAGGTGCACAGTATGTGGGAGAAGGGATTCGGGGTCAGAGATTCTAGAACCTGCTGCAGAGCTGCTGTGAGTGGTGACAATAAGGACAGGTCAGTTCTCTGTATCTCTAAGAGGTCAAGATGCTTACATCTCTTGTCACATTCCTGGATGTGGCAGGTCCGCGTCTGGACCGAGGAGCCCTCGCATCGGTTGTTGAGGCTGTCACAGGAGCGGCCACGCTGCTGAATTCCATTGCCACATGTCACAGAGCAAGAGGTCCACTCAGACCACGGAGACCAGCCATCATCTGCTGAGTCACTGGCTGCAGGGAGAACAGGCCGTTCAGTACATAGTGATGAAGGCAAGCTATTCTTTAGATGGCTCTGCTCACAGCCCTTCACTTGCTAGAGAGTAAAAAGCAATACATTTCTCTTCAAGGTCTACTGAGGTATAACGGACAACAATCATATAAAGTTAAGGTGTACAACTGGTGCTGTGGTCTGCATCTGCCTTTTGAATATCACTGTCAAGCTAGTAGTTAATAAACTTATCTATGACTCCATAAAGTTACCTTCTTTCTTTTCCTTTTTCTCTTGGTAATGATTTCAGATCTAGTCTCTTGGCAAATGTCAAGTACATAATACAATATTATTACATGCTGTAGATGAGATCTGCAGAACTTAGTATCAAAGGTTACAAAGTTTTGGTTACCCCAGGTGGCTGTGTGTATAGCACTGGGGGTGACAGGATGTGTTGCCTGGGTCTGTACAGCTGAGCCTTCTCCCAGCCTCTGCTTGCCTATTCATTGCTTCCTCCTTTCTCCTTTCTCATTTCAAATGAATTTCCTATTGCTGACTTAAGATATGTGGACAGGCATTTCCAGGCTTAGGCTTCCAAGAATGCTCGAGTTTTAGGCATGTGGAGCTTTAGCTGTTTCTGATTGTCAGGGAAGCTGTGGACCATGTGCTTGACAGATGAGCCTGAAGGCGGCTTAGCTGCTGTCAGCTCTGGCTCCAACTCGGTCATGAGGTTAGTCAGTTTGGTGTTCCTCTCATCCCAGCATCTGGGGGTATTTTCTGCACATATTTGCATGAAAGGAGAATGTGTTTGTTTACCATCTGCCTGAGCACCATGACTACAATCACATCTAGCTGTATCAGACACGACAGAGAGCTTGTTTTCTTTTGCCATCAGTTGGAAATTTTCCTAGCAACCTCCGATTCAAGTTCAGAACTCTGCTAGCCTCCAGCAGCTTTGTTCCCTTGAAAAACACCCTTCAAGTGAATGTTGACCAGAAACTGATATACAAGTGGTCAGTCCAGTGCCAATACTGATTAGTCCAAGCCATGGCCAGTGTGTACAGGGGTGTGTGTATGTGTGTGGGTGTGTGTATGAAGGGCAAATACTACTTTCCTGCTTTCTTATCGTAGTTGTGATGACTCATGTCTATGATCTGTACCTAAACACTGTCTAAGGAAAGCAGTTAATGTATACTGGCAACCAAAAACCAAGGAGAGGGGGCCTGGAACAACACAGGGCCTTAGCACTCAAACTGACACTATTCTCTTAGTTCTCCTCTGTCAACGAGAATTTTCAGGCTCAATTCAGTCTAACACTCATACCATAAGCCTATTGATTTCTTTGGTAAGCAGATTTTTCTTAACTCTGTACCTCCTCTAAGAAAAAATGCTAAAAACAGCCAACTTAGGGCTATGGAGGTGGCATATTCATCTCCTTTCCTCAAAGCATAAAATCAGAGCCAACAGCCATTCCGAGATTCTTACTGCCTATACTATAATCCAGATGGGTGATAATATTTAGTCATAAATGAAGATTTTGGTGCCGCACAGCAGATAAGCTATCAGTTAACCAGCTGCTGCAGCAAGAAACAGAATAAACACATATGAGGGCGATGAGGGTGAGGTCCAATGTTGTGCTCTGCTGTCCAGGATGTATTACGACTGACCTAGTCGCTGGCTAAAGAGGGCTTATGCCATTTGGGGAACTTACGCCAACACCGCGGGCAGCATTCTCCATCAGGAACTGTGGCATTGGAGCAGGGCATAATGGGGCAGGACACCTTTTTGCAGATGGTGACTGAGTTCTACAAAGCAACAGAGTGACAGAGAAATGGATTACCTCGCATGTTGCAAACCCAAGTTCACGCAGTGTCACATTTCCATGATAAGCCAGAACGTGGTCATGGCTGTAAATGCTCTCGTGGAATGGTTTTGATAGAAGATCTGTGTAGCAGAGGTCCCGACTCTCAGGGAGACAGTGGCAGTGCTAGTTATTTGTCATTTAATTCCTTGGAGAGCCCTTTTTAACTGCTACTCAAAGGTAGAAGTTACAGCATGAAGAACTTCTATAAGCAGAACCAATAAATATCGTTCTCAAACTCGTGTTTGAAACTGAGCTGACAAAACTCAGCCAGAACTTTGAAATGGTTAAGTTTGCTTTTTTGTAGGGGGAAAAAAAAGACCTATAAGCACATCTCTCCCCCTTTTTTTTTTTTTTTGCATTTATAAATCTGGATTTATCGTATTGGAAGAGAATGGAAATGTAATGAAGTTGGCTTCCAAATTCAGTCATCTGTGATTTGTATTAAAGCCTGACTTTGCTCCATGAGCCAGGAAAACCTCCTTGCTCCTCTGCCAGTGGTGTAGGGGTAGCAGGCAATGCAATCCGAGCTAAGAATACAGGGGCATCCTAACAATATGGGGCTAAGTGACTCCAGCAACAACCGGTACTGTGGTGAAAGAACCTCTGTGCCACAGCTGAATACCAATCAGGGGGGAGGGGACGAAGAAGGAACGTCCCAACCAGGCTTTAATCACCCGACATTCAACACTTAGCCTTTGAACTGAAGCAGGTAAATGATTCAGATGTCTCAGCAGATTTTTTTTTTCCCTGAAATACTTAGCCTGGGGTATAATTAGGACTTGGACAAACCTTCTGCGAGTCTAAATGAGAATTTGGTACCTGGTTTGGGAACATGAAAAGAATTATGTGGTCGTCTGAGTATTTGCCCAGGGACTGCAGCTTCAAACACGTGGTGGCGAGCCTTGGTTTATGTTAGTGTGTGAAGAGCCCTCACCTGACAGCGACACTCAGTGCAGCTGTCCACGGTCCATTCCTCGTTATTCCTGTACTGGACCCCATTGTGATAGCAGAGGGGAGGCTTCCTCAGCTCATTGGCCAGCTCTTTGTTCTCTTCAGTCTGAAAGGAGGAGACAGATCGTTAGTGTCTAGGTTTATGTTCCATCGCTAGGCATCCTCTGTGCTAAGGCCTCCAGGGCTCGTGTGAACAGGCTGAGGGGTGGGTGGGGAGGCTACAGGCCACTGACCACTTTGCGAATGCTGTCCTGCAGCGTGGTCACGATGGTGCGCAGGCCCCTGAGTTCCAGGAATATGTTGGACAGCTCATCACAGGAGATGCCACAGATGGCCTGCAGGTCCTTTGTCTTGTGGCCAATGTAGTTAGTGCGGATGGCAGGGCTGGACCCGTTCACCACATTGTTGTCAAGGGTGAGAAGGACATTGGTGGATGCTGGGAAGCGAACACACAAAATGAACAAGGCAATAAGATAGCTTCAAATGGATGATCTTACCAGCCAGCCCTCCCAGTTCTTGGTTGTAAATGCCATTTATTTCATGTGGAGGGAGGGATACAGGTGGAGGACGTGCATGTGTGTGCAAATGCCCACTGAGGTCACTTCACCTCTTAACTGGGTTCTCTGGGGAGAATTCATGCACAATCACCTATGCTTAAATTTCTGTTTGTTTTTGGTGGGATTCCCACTCCCACCTGCCCTGATTTCCCCCATATGCCTTAAAGAGAGAGGGGTACTCACCACTGGAGCAGCCTTTGTTCCTGAGGATGTCTTCTGGTGTGGTTCCAAAGACAAACCGCACATTCTGCAGTGCCCCCTGTGGGCAGAAGACACACATTACATATACAGTGTGGAGACCGGGGCTCTATGGGAAGGCTGTGCTAAGAGAAGCACACAACAGATCATTCACAAAGCTTCAAAGGGCCCTGTTTTAAGATCACTCTATCAAAATAACACACCAACATAAATTGCCAAACAACTTCAAAATCTTAATTGTGCCTCCTGCCAAGTCTTCAGTATTTGACAAGGAATTCAGTTATCTGCCTACTTGGGTACACAGGAAATGGAATCTGATACAAAGCCTGGAGGATACAATGACACTATCCAGTGTCAAAGAGTTAAATGTGGGAGTTCAAAGCCAGAGTCACAAACATAGGGGCTAAGGCCAGGAAGAAGCTGCAGCAGCAAATAACCACAATTTTAACCTCTCGACTGAGACCGGCTCAAACCCCTACAAAGAATCCAAGAGCAAAGCGATTATTGATTCTGCCGTGCAAGCCCCTCGTGAAGCAGTATTAAAAGTGGTGGGACACATTCGAGGTTAGTCTTCTTGAGAGCCTAAGGAGTGCCTGTGGCTTGAACAGGCTGTCACAGCAAAATCATGGGCTTCCCTGGGGAGTTTTTGACCCGTGGCTCCTCGACTACCATCTCAGCCTCAGCATTATCTGGCACTTGTTAGAAATGCAACTTCTCAGACCCATTCCAGTGCACTGAACTGGGGGCTCTGGGAGTGGGGTACAGCAGCCCTCCGGGGAAGGTGATGCTTCTAGAATGGGAACTGCGGCTTTGGTCTCCCGACAGGTCAGCAGGCTAGCAGACGGCCCCAGGACCAGGGCGCAGAGAAGCGGCCTCACCTGGAAGTTGTCATTAACGCCTCCCTTGGCGATGCGGAGCCTGGCCACGTTGGCCAGGTCCCTGGTGAAGATGCTCTGGATGGGGACGTCCAGCTCAGCATTCTCCATCTTCTCGCAGTCGATGTACAGCTGGGCCCTGTCTTCCTGCACAAACAGGGTGATGCTCTTCCAGTGGCCGGTCGCCAGCAGAGCTTCCTCCACCGACACCACATGCTGCTTCCCCTGCACGGTCAGGCTCAGGTCCAGGGTGCCCGCCTTGCCGTTGGAGACCACACTGAAGACCTGGCCAGAGTGGTCTTTCCGCTCCAAAGCCAGCAGCGTGCCCCGGGTCTTCTTCATCTGCCTCAGGGAGGCCAGGAAGAGGAAACCTTTCTCTGCGCGCACAGCATCCACTAGGTCCTGGAACTTGTCGTCAGGCACCGGGGGGATCAGGTTGGCATCTTCGATGCGGTAAGCAGGGCTGGAAGGGTCAGGACCCTTCACGAGCCGGCGCCCAGAGCCCTTGCGGGCAGCCCCGGTGAGTTCAAAGATGTCAAACACGCTGTTGTCTCCCCCAGATTCTGCCGGACAGGAAAGGACAACAGTGAGTTTTCTAGGCTGGGGCTGGGGCTGGGGCTGGGGCTGGGGCTGGGGCTGGGGCTGGGGGAGGGAGCTGAGCCCTGGCAGCCGGCCCACAGGCACGGGCAGCCACTGAAAGAGCTGACTGGACACCGCGATCAGAGCAAGGCTGCATCTTGATACTCAGCTGGGGCTCAGGGGAGAGACGGCTGGGAGGGAGAGCCAGTGCCTTCTCCTTCCACCTGCCCTGAGGTGTCGCACAGACTCACCTGGAATGTGGTTGCTGCCACACACCTGCAGCAGGAACAGGACACTGAGTCCCCAGGCCAGCCCCATGGTGGAGCTGTCTGTGCCCAGCAGGGAGCCTGCAGCAAGAAGCAGAAGAGCACAGGGTCAGAGACAGCGAAGACTGGGGGCTAGTAGGGGGCCAGAGCCCCGCAGCCCTCCTGGGCCTCACATTCGCTGGAGACACCACGGGACTGGTTTTCCAGAGGGCATCATGCAAAAAATGAGAGTTGGAGGGAGGTGATGCCAGGGGCACCCGCACCACCAGCGGGGGTGGGGGGTTGTTTCTTGGGAAGTTGAGAGTGAACAGCAGGGCCAGGAGATGCAGCTAGGGGGAGGAGGGAGGGCATGACGAAGTAGCCTCCTCCCTAGAGGACAGTTAGCAAGGTTTAGGTAGGACTTGGAGGAATCCTGGGGCGCTCTGATGAGTTAGTTTGTGAATTCCTAGCTGAAGAGTCCCGCCGGCGGCTGGGAGGGACAGAATGGGGGCAGCGAAAGAGAGGAGAACCTGGGAGCTCGAGATGGATGGCCAGGGCGGTGCGGGCTCCTGGCGACCGCCCGGGGCGCTTACCTGTGTAGACGTGGGCTCAGCGGCCGGGAGCGGCGGCGAAGACGCAGGAGAGGCGCCGGGGTAACCGGTTAGCCCGGGGGACCGCGGTCGGACTCGCAGGCTGAGCAGGAGGATCGCTCGCTCGCTGGAAACCCGAAGTGGCCGGCTGGCTCGGGTGCAGTGGCTGGCGAGGCGAAGCGGCGCGCTTTTAAAGGGGGCGCTCGCATTCCTGGGGATTCCTCTGGCCAATGGGCGGCGACCGGGCAGGAAGCGGGAGGGGGGCCAGTCTGGGTCGCGCTCCCCGCCCCCAGCCGCCCGGCGCGCAGCTTTCCAGCTAGGAAGCTGAGGGGGGAGCGGCTGCCGGCGCAGGAGCGCCGCAACTTCTCAGAAATAACAGGCGCCCGCCCAGGCAGCCTTGGCGCGCGCAGCCTCGGAGCTCGGGCTCCTGGGCCACGCGGCCCGAGGCGTTTGGCGCGAGCGTCCCGGGCAGCGACGGGGCTTAGCGACCACCGCAGACCCATGGGAGGGCTCTCGGGCAAGCTCGTACCCTTGAATACCCCGCCCAGGGCTGTGGCTCAGAGGTGGACGCTTTGAGACGGCTTTGCAAAAATGGTGGGCCTGATGGGGACACAGGGGACCCCTCGGGAGAACCAGCTGTCCGGGAGAAGTGGCCCCTGGGGTGCAGGCCGACCCCAGCCCATCATCCTGCCGGGGTGGGGCGGCAGGCGTCCCCCGTGCCGACGCACCTGGACTGGCGCGCACGCCTGCCCCGCGCCTGACCTCTCCAGGCTGAGCGTGCGGAGTCGCGCCGGGCCTGCAGGGCGCTGTGCGCAGCTCGCACTTGCCGAGTCCCCGCGACGGTCGCTTCGGCGGTGGCTGCCGCGCTCCCACGGCTTGCCGCTTGGGGGCGGTATGCGTATTGCTATCGAGGGGACCCACTCCGAGTGCTGCTTGCCAGTAGGGGAGTTTTAAGCGAATGGACTCCTGTCCGGCTCCCTCAAGCCAAAACTAAAGTTTGTGTCTTGAAAAACAGTCTTCGTGCCCACTCGTGCTTCTTAACGTGACTCCTGGTTGGAGAGTTTGCAGAGCCATCTGGCTCCAGGGTCTTAAACTATTTACAGAACAGACCCGGAGAGTAATAAATTACTCGCTGCCTATTATTTTATTTCCCTTTTTCCTCCCTAAGCGTTCCTTTCATTTTTCGGCTCCTGAAACCAAGGCGTGGGTTACATTTCTGTGGGTACGCACATTGCCATGGGCCCTGCAGCCTGATGCTTCTGTCATTGACGTCTGGTCTCCAAGCCACTGTCCCAAGCCAGCATGACTGCAGCGGCCTGGAATTCCATTCATCTGCCTGGGATGGGACGTCAGCAGCCACTGCTGCCCCTGCCGTGGTCCCGCGTTATCAGGCTGGCCCAAGGACCAGGGCACAGGTAGAAGCTTCACCAAATAAGGGTCTCGTGCCACACGCAGAGGGGACCTTCCCTCCCCCCACCTCCTTTCTTAGCAGTGACACCTGGCAGGACTCCCACTGCTGGAAACACGCACGGGTTCCGCGCATCTGACAGCGGCGTCACTTTCCTTGTGTGACAAGGTGTGCCTGTGTGTCCATCAAGCGCCTCTAGGAGATACACATGTTCCTAAGATGCCTGTTTGTTTGCTGCATTTCGATGTCTCGAGGCAGGAGTCAAAGTTTCTATTGGCTGATGAGTCAGATCGGATTCCGGTCCTGGAAGTCGCAGGTAGTGAGTCATGCGCACAGATCTGAAGGGAGCAGCAGCCATGCGTGTCCTCCCACTTTCCTCTCCCTCTCCTTCCCCGGCAGCCAGTTTGCTCTTTGCAAGAGGCTTTTTTTTTCTCTCTCTCTCTCTACTTGTGACTAATTCTTCCTGGTACTGGGCACTTAGGAACCAGCACTTTTTGGAGGACTGGCCAGCTGATGGCACTGGGCTCCTGTGGCCCAGGTTGATATTTTAGACAGATCCCCCACAAAACCAGGGCACAGCCTTCTTGTACCCAAAGACCCTCGCCCCTCGGCTTAGCCCCACAGGTGAAGTAGCCCCAAGCGCTTGCTGCCCTGGCTGGGGATCACAGAAATGCGTCTGGGTTGTCTTGGAGCTTGCTGTGTTTGCTTCGTAGAGAGGAAGGTCCCCTGGATGAGGCCCGGAGGAACCTTCTTGTCAGTGTTTCGTCAGAGAACGCTAATGGCAGCCTAGGTGCTGTTTAGGTTCAACACGGGGTCCTCCCCAGGACCCCGTCACTCGGTCATTCTGCAGGCAAGTGCAGGTGGCAGAGGAGTGGGTGTCCTGGCAGCTCTTGGGAACTCTACCACGTTCTTCCTGGTCAGCGTGGGCCACGTGGTGCCGGGGACACCTCACCTACCTCTGGGAAGCTTGGAGAAGAGGAGGAACAGCAGAAGAGGGGCCTTATTGCCTTTCCTGGGGGGACGCAGTGACCCTCGCATGTGCGTCCCCTGAGGGACAGGGAGTTCAGGCCAGTACACCGCCAGGGACTGGAGTCATGAACCTTTCAGCCAGGGGATCTCGTTCTGTGACCCCCATGGCACGAGAGAGCCCTTTTGCCACAGCCCCAGATGCTGTTCGCGGTGGACATCCAGGAGTGAGCATCGTTTCTGATTTCATTACGTCATTGTACCTTCTTCTGAAGAACTCCGAGGTGTAGTCTGGTGGCTTCATAAAGGAAAGAATAGCCAGTCTGGGCTGAGTGGCTTGGCATCTTTGAGCATGACTTTTTTCTTTAAAATCGTAAGGCATGTGGCATCTCACCCTAGCATGTTCTATTGCCAAGTTCTCCTCATTAGAGATGAGAGGAACCTAAATGTTTTGCCAGTAAATATTAGGAAAGCACTGCCAGTGACAGCCAGTTTAAACATTGCCTGTCATTAGGGACAGCAAGGCGATTGAGAAAAAAACCCAAAATTGTTTCTCTAGCAAAAGATAGCAAAGTGTGACTGGGAAACGTAGGCAATGTTCGTCAGTGGAGATTTTCCTAGAAATGTACGGCAACCAGTACTTGTGTTCTAGACTGGTGCAAAATTGGAGCATTTTCAGAACGGAGCCCTCACCGATTCGTTCCCGGTGAATATTCCCTCCAGACTGAAGTCGTTTCCGTCAGCTGCCTCCATGATCTGAGCCACAGGGCGTCAGGGATTGCTCTTACCTGCAGTCAGACGCTCCCCTCCCTGTGCTCCAGCGGCTTCATGGTGCCCTGTTGCTTCTTGCGAACTTGGAAGCATGCCTCGCCTCTGTCTTGTAACTCCTCACCTCACACTCTTTCTTACTTAGTCTTTCAAAGTCCGCTGTTATTTCTCAATGTGTAGCGACCAGGTTTGAAGTACCCAAAGGCCTGGGCTTGGAAAGAACTATTATATTTGAATTTGCAAGTCTCTTTGTACTCAAGTCGATTTCTGGTACACAGGTATCTTTATCTCTTGGGCAGGTCATCCAGATTGGCTCCCAAACAGACACCCCTCCCCAGCAGTACCCTGGGCGGGGTTGATCTCAGTGGGAGGAGGTGGGAGTGCTGGTGCTGCGCGCTGCTCCTCTTTCCCTGCTTCCCAGCCAGTGACTGATTTTGGAAACAGCAGGTGACCCAGTTCTGGCCAGTGAGAAGTTTGCTGAGAGCTTCTGGAAAAAAGTTCTTGTTTCGGAGAATGAGCAGCATGAAATCAGGCTTTCTCCATGTCTTTTGGACACTAAGAATGCTGATAAGCACTGCTTGGCTCCGTGGACCACTAGGGCAGCCAAGTTTAGCCTGAAGCTGGTAGGGAACCAGGAAGTGCAGAGGCACAAGTCAGATGATAGTTTTGCACTGCTAAATCCACTAGTCCATTCTACCTCCTGATTTCTTTGGATACATGTTTACTACTCAAGTGGATTTGTTGTTGTATGTTACTTAAAGCCACAGACATCATAGCCGAGAAGAGTTTGTTCTTTCTCCTTTGCATTACCTTTTCACTTTGCATGCCACCTCTTATTTCTTCAGGATAGCAGACATAAGGGTAGGGTTATAGGCGGAACCATCTTAAGGCCTCTTCATCTGTCTTATTCCAAAGCTTGCCAGAAGAACTTGCACCGTCACGCTCCTCCCCATGGCATGAGAGAGCTGTTTACCATGTCCTGATGACCAGGAGCGAGCGATATTTATGATGTTATTACATCGTAGTACCTTTCTTCTGGAGAACTCTGAGAGGGAATCCAGTGGCGGCACAAAGGAACGAATATGCAGTCTGAACTGATCCTGGGGGTAGGTGAGCAGACTGACTCACTAGGAAATCAAGGATGTGAGGGCAGGAAGAGGGGAACAGCGGGAGGTGGTGAGAGCTCAGCTGGGTCCAAAGATGGAAGTGGGGATAATTAGCAAAAAGGGAAAACAAGGACACAGAGAGCAACCTCCTAAGTGCAGTCTTTGCTGAAAGGCCCGGTAGCTGTGAGTAGCATCTGGGCTGCTGTGTCTGGGAGCAGGCTCGGACTCTGACTTCTTCATTCTTCCTTCTGCCCAGCTTTAACCCTTTGTCATTGTGGTGGAGGATGCACCAGGGTGCAGGGCCTGGGTTAGGTCTCAGTTTGGAAATAATGTTTCCTTGCAAGTGTTTGCCACCCCACAAGTGGGCCGCAGCCAAAGGCAGCCTTTGATGAAGAGGAGAGTGCGGGAAGTCATCCAGAAGGTGCAGTTATGAACTCCAGCCATACCTGCCTTCTCCCAGTTGCTGTTTTCTCCTCCAAAAATCAAACCATGGACTTTTTAAGCCAGAAATAAGAGCTCATCTGGTACAACCACTTGGTTAATAGGTGAAGAAGTTGGTTCAAAGAGGAGAATCCCTTGAGAAAGGTTTGTGGGGAGCAACTGGGAGCAACTCGGACTAGACTAAGTTACTGGAATTAAGACTTATTCTATGCATCTGCTCTCCCACAATATGGCGCTGGGAGAGGAGCAAACAGCTTCTACCCAGCTGCCTCTCACCAACTTGACAAGCTGCAGGAGCCGCTCCTGATTGGAGGAGAGCAGCGTACTCAGCGTGTGGGCAGCCGAGTTGGGATCGGCGGAAGAGGACTATAAAGGAGGAGAGAGACAACATGCACCAGCAACATCTAAGAGGAACATCTAGCTGAAGGAACACCTGTGTAGCCCCCGAGAGAGCCGGCCGGCGGTGTGCCGCTCC